GTTGTGTGTGTGTGTGTGTGTGTGTGTGTGTGTGTGTTGTGTAGTGTGTAGTGTGTGTATGTCGTTGTTAGTGTGTAGTATATATATATATATATATATATATATATATATACGATCACAGATATTTATACCGCTATATACTTCTAGCCATGCGATTGTACGTGTACTTCTGAACACTTGTAAATGGGTTTGCATGTAATCTTCCCAAGCAGCTATCACCAAGCCACTGGCACTGAGCAATAAACACGTGACGTTTAAGTTCAGATAGACCAGACAGGTACATACTAAATAAAAGCTAGTTCAGAAACAACGATTGTATAGTATATGTGTGAAATGACACTCACATACCGTGTAGTCATGCTTGATTCGTAGCTTCTTCATAGCGTCTTCTAACGCACGTTCCCAATCCTTTGCAGATTGTTCAAAGTGTCCGCGCGATAGTCCTGAGACCATATCGTAATCACTCTCAGCTATAGCAAGTGTATGAAGATCGGAATCGCACAACACCACTGATAAACCCTGAGTACCTGCATCGATACCTATGTACCCAGCTTGTGGAGGGGTAGCCATACTTCCTTCCCAGTCGATTATAGAATAAAAATAACCTAAACTTTGTCTCCTAACATGTACGATTTGGCGTGTCGGCTGACTTCAAGTTACTGTACATATGCGTAGTATGTGCTTTCGGTTATGCACACGTAGGTCTCAGTGTTTAGCAAGCAGTATAGAGGTCAGAAATGGACCATACGTGATGTGTGGAACACCTTCAGCCGTGCAAACTGCAAACTACATCGTTCGAGCTGCCTTGTGTGGGTATCCTTTTTTTGGGTTTATTCAATATTGGCACTTTGACAGTTGATGTCACAAAAAGCATCCCGTCCTCAAATTCAGTCCTTTTATTGGTTAAGCATTTGATCAGCATTTCATTTTATCCAATCAAAATTAAGTTACGGACAAATGTCACAAAGTTGTTGTATGTACAGTTGTACACGCACGAAGGCTAAATAACCTCAATCCGTTTATCAAAAGTTGAACGTAAACGCTCAGACTGGAAAATTCGGATCGACTTATTTCAAACATATAACGGACATAATAAAGTAAAACTTTGAACCTTAGGGCTCCGAATATGCACCCGTAGTCCGTAGTGTTAACCATAGGGGGCCATCGCGATATAAACGCTGTGCAAAAACGTATGCAAGTTAGTACGAAGACCATGAGCAAAAATAAATTCGAAAACGCCATCGCGATACCTATATACGTAAATAAACAAATAAACACTCAGTCACGAGCGACACAGGACCGTTCACACACACGCGGCTATATATAAGCCATGCTTTGCAACTTGGTCTTCAGTAACTGCAAGAGATCGTTGAGATTCAGTCCTACACACACATACAAGTTTAACCCCTTTCTTTCTATACGCAATATGAGTGTTTCACCTGCCAAGTCTGTACCAGACACACTGGTGAGTGGTCCCAACGCCCACTTAGTAGCGCCAGGAAAATGGTATGCGCGTGCGATGTAGTAAACTGCAGCTGTTGTTGTATCTGCGTACCGTTATTGGTATGTGTTGCATACGTGATGGCTTTGATGGGGGTGTTGTAATTGTACATCCAGAATGGCACGGAAACTATTTTGCGGTTTTTTGCAGCAGCAGCAGCAGTTCAGGCACCTACTTGTCGGTATTAGTGGTGTGTACTTATTGGCTTTTTGAGGAGTTATTGTAATTGTATATCAGGATCATGCACGTGTCGTTCAGTATCGATCGGTGTTGATGTCGAAGCGGTTCTTTCAGGTTATTGGACGTCTGTGATCCGTCAAGTCAATCAGTATTCAGCGATCTTCCATATGTTCCTACAAACCTATCACTTCAGTCACGACTCTTTTATCATGTCCCGTATTTTAGCGTCAATTTGTGTCTTCTTTATTTGGGTTATATGTGAAACATGAGTTTATGGTTACTATTTCAGTGTACAACTGCTAGCTTCTCTGCATGGTACCACTCCTCACAAATAGCATGTGGAGTATCGGATCTGCGCCACCCAACAATACCAACTGTCCCAATTCGTATTGCACCATCCGCATACCCAGAGCTATCCCCATTACCGTGTTGATCCGAATGTCTACCGTCTCCTTATACGTACAAGTCTCGACATATCACCATATCTATTTAGCATCCGCTCTCCTTGTTTCATACAGTCAATTCGGATCGGACTTCACCTCCGTATCTCTGCTGAAGCGCTGGAAGGTGTCAGAGACCTCCAGTGTGCTACAGTTTTCGCTTCCCAAGACTGACGAGCCGTTAAACCTGAGCACGTGTGCGTGCATTCTGGCCAAGGCTGATCTCCCCGACCGAGACGGGAAGACGGAGGCTGTAATCCGGCCCTATACACCTATCTCGACGAATTCCCAAGTATGTATGTGTCGTAATGTATCGAGTGTGTACCTTTGGGTGGCTGTTGAGTGCGACGGGTATGCTGGTTTGGGGTGATGTACAGGTTTGGTATGTGTTAATATGCACGCCTGAATGGCTTAGCTCACTCATTTGTTTGCAGCAAATGTGAAGTACGTATTTAAAGGGTGTACAGCTCCTATTTGTTACAGCAAATACATTCCCGATTCTCAGTTGATGATGGTGTGGCGCTACGTACGATGATTTGGATAGTCTCCATTGGTCCACAGTACAACGCAGGAACATGCGAAATGGATTGTTAGTTGCCACTACTCTGTTCGTCCGCTCGGTACTTGTTCGCTGCAATATTTCATGGAAGTACTCGGGTTGAGTGGGGTTTGTATATCTGCGTGACTTCAATATGGTGATGTGTACCCATGGCAACCGGGAGTGGGTGGTCCGTTTGCTTTCAATTTGTGATCGGTGTTGCAGCGTTGCGGTATCCTGCATTTGGGAATAGGCACTCCTTATTTAGGCAATTTAAATATGAATATCAGCCCAGATGCGCCTGTGTGTACGTCAAATGGACTTTTTTTTGTCCTGACTTCGTTACGTTGCTCTGTATCAGGTTGGCACATTCGACCTATTAGTCAAAAACTACGGCAAGGACGGGCGCATGTCCACCCACCTGGTTGAAGAATTGAAGGAAAACGACACCGTCGAGTTCAAACACATTGACAAGAACGTCAAGATTCAGGCTCCTTTCGACGGCTACAAGAAGATTGGTATGATTGTGGGCGGCACCGGTATCACACCCATGATACAAGCCCTACACGCCATCCTGGGTGATGAGACGAGTAAGGTGAAAGCTACCATGCTTTATGGTTCCAAGATGCAGTCGGATATACTTGCGCAGGATATGCTGGACAACTGGGTCAAGCACGATCGGTTGGAGCTGGAGTATGTTCTCTCGGATGAGCCAGAGGATTCAGATTGGAAGGTGTGTATGAAGGATTTGTACGTATGAGAAGCAATACTTCGGGTTTATTCCATCTTAATACTTTGGTTAAAAAAATCTTTTTGGGTTTATTCAATCTTAAAATACTTTTTTGGGATTCTTCAATGTTTCTGGAATTTTTTTTGATAAAGTTACGTACATGGGGCGTTTCTGTATCCGAGATTGCTCTCAGGCAGTAGAGTTTTGTATGTGATTTAACTTTTCTGGCTCTGAAAGTGCTTTCCAAAAGTATCTGTTGAAGTTGTGTGTGGCGCCACACAGTCCTCATACTTTTGCGTCTGGTCGGTTTCATTCTGTACATTTTGTTTCATACCGATGAGTTATATTAGACGCGAAGATGTTATATATATATCTACATATACATGTATATATATGTCTGCATTATGCATTAACATCTGAGCTCGAATCCTTGCCCTTTCCAGGCACATAGTCTCTTTAGGAAGGCCAACATCTGTTTAAACAGATTCAATGAATTAGAGCGCTCTGGGCGCCCACGCATTGCAAAATATATTGCTGTATTAAATCATGTATTGCACTTGTCATGGCATCTTCACAAAGCGTCCCATCGCATACACGCTTGTAGGTCAGTACACAACACTCACTGAATGCATGTATCTCCCATTGTAGGGCGAGCGCGGATTCATCACAAAGGATTTGATCAAGAAGCATCTCTTCAGCCCTGAAGATAAGGAAGGAATCATCTTTGTATGCGGGCCTCCACCCCTGTACCAGGCGTTGTGCGGTCCAAGGGATTCGCCTGAACTGACAGGTGCCCTGAAGGAAATGGGCTACACATCCGATCAGGTGTTCAAGTTCTAGAGCTGTCGGATTTACAATTTGTAAATGCTGAATAGGCGTCTGTTTACGTACAGAATGAGCAATAAAGCTAAATCGATATAACTCCCGACATGTCCTCTGATACGATTGAAAAAAAGTCTGCTTAAGCTTCTTCACCTTGTGTGCTTTTAGTAGGTATGCCGCTTCAACTTGAATTGTTTTTTTATTCTATATGTAGTAGTGAGCCATTGATCATCGTGCATGTGTCCACAGTCCTAAATAGTCTACGAAACAGTTGATTGACAATTAGTAGGGGAGACTCGATCTGGTGGATATTTGTAAATTATGAATCTCATGGTGGTGCACAAATTGGTGCTTGGTTCATGATGTAAAGTTTTGGACGTTTGTTCCAAACTTGAGATCTAAAATAGATTTTGTCTCGGAACGATTTTATATGAGCGGTACAAAAAGAAAGAATTGGTATTGTACAAAGTGGCGCGGTGTTTTCTTTAGGCCAAATATAGTGTGTAGAGCATAACACATCTATTTCACTTACTTTCTCGGTAATTTGAGTTGTTCAAACTCATACGTTAGTGCGCTTTCTAGTAATAGAGCTCGTTAGATTAGGAGTCAGTTTGTATACTTATTTCCTAAGTAGTATGCCACTGTGTAGCGATGTGTGTACCGGCACTCGAACACTTCTTCACTGCAGAAACACCTTCATTAGAAAACGCATCTTATTGGTTTTTTAGCCTGCTACGAATCCTCGGGGTGGAGAGTTTGCTTTCAAAGTATTTATATGTAGAGAGTATGACATGACCTCATTTTTCCGTTTGTTGAGCGTTGGAGAATGGGAGAGTTCCTAAATTGTATATCATCTATTCCTTAAATTTTATTCTTAACGTCCATTGACATAATAATTTTGCTGACCACCATTTCTTTCCATCGTGCTTCTGCGCTCCCGGACTGACCATAATGTAATGCTACAGTATTCGTTGATTCTGGATTCAAACTCATCTCAGTTAGTTTGAAAAGCATGAGCTCGCAATATAATATAACGGCCTCGCGAGTATCTCGCACCTGTATCTTATCAGCTCCAGTCCTGTCGTATACATTGCTGGGATATGTATTCGAGTATTCGTCATAGTCTGCGAATCGGACAGTCCTTCTTGGGGGCAGATTCCCTTTTGTAATCCCCTGTGCAGTTGGTTGTATCGTTTGTTTTAAACTGTTCACATGCTTAATTGGAAACATTCTAAATTTCGATTTACGCGTACATGCACCGTATTCGGCATATAAACCCCCCATGAGTTCAAGCTCGTCAAAGTCTGATTCAATCAGAACTTGTTCTCCGACTGGATCTGACTTTTTGCGCTTGTGGTGTGACATATTGCTGCTTTGATGTAGCGGTCCTCTCTTCGCGTTTGTTACTTTGCTGAACGAGCGACGTTGGCAACTATCCATTGTCTGCTTGTTTTGTTGTACTAACTTTGATGTTAATGTTATCAAGACAAATCGTCCCTGGGTATATATGTAGGTTGTTATCACCTCTATTTAGTATTTTGGATGTGGTACATACATACAGATGTCGACAGTTGAACTAGAGTCTAGAGTAGGTGTAACGGACTAACGGCTGTAAAGTGTATACTGTTTAAGTTCACCATACCTAGAGAGTCCGAGATCAGAGTGGCAGCGCCGGACTCGATGGAGTATTGTGTAATGAGTAACGACTAATATAGGAAGCAGGAATGCGCCATATAGCAAATTGGTATTAGGAACCATAATTTTAATAATACAATAATTCTATTGGATTATTCACATACTGTCTTGCTCAGATGACTTTTCTATTCTGTCGAATCAAATTGAGGTCTGGCAGGGGCAAAACCGACCCTTTTTTGAAAATGAGAACTATTGCATAGTTTGATTGGTTCACTGCTTCAAGTTTCTCGCCCTCTTCCGGCAATTCACTCTGAAGTCTGAGTCTGAGACTTTGAGTCTGAAGTCCGAGGCCTGGGCTACTCTCGGCTCTGGGCCAGGGGCCCAGGGCCCCTGGAGCTCTTAAGCCGCTCTGCCGCTCTACGCCTCTGCCCTCTGGCCACTGATTTCAATTTTGAATTTATTTATAGTGATTCTTTCTCTTTGTGGGAGTGTACAGTGGGGCTCTGGAGTCTGGAGTCTGGGACCTGGTCACCTGGGTCAACGACCTTGGGGGCTGGGTCCTCTTAAATAATGGGTCTTCGAAAATTCGACTCCTCTGGGGGACTCCAAACGTCTGACGTCTCTGAGAGTCTGAGTCATGGCAATATGCGTCATGTCGCGTGTGGCGTGTCCTTAGAAATTGATTGGTGCATTATAGGGGGGGGGAGGAAGAATTAACTATCATCGTCATAAATTCATGATAGGGGTTTACATTTTGCGCTGATTGAGTGAATGTCCTATAGACTTTGTCCGTAGTTACTCTTACATATTTTTTAATTTTGAATATTTTCTTCTTCCTCTCTCAGTCTCTCTTAGTCTCTCTCTTTCGTGCGAATCGAGAGAGTAGAGGTCGAGGGCGTTTAGACTCGCTACTCTTTAGAGTGAAGCCTTAACTCATGATATGTGGTTTTACTGTTTCAGACTTCAGATTTTACTTTTTTTTCATATTTGTATGCGAAATTGTAAGTGATGACTGATGACTGATGGCCACGTGACAGTGCACTCTGCAGACTGCAGTCTGCACTATTTACTCTTTTTCCTCTATGCCCTGCGCAAATGAACATCGAACACAACTTGTAGCATTCTGATTCTGGCAACAACTTTTTTTTAGAAGTGTCGAAGTCTCATTGTCTCACACTCAGTCTATTTTGTTTTAAACAAAAAAAGTTAAACCCCAAAATCCTGATTTATTTTGTTTTTTTAACTTTAGAAAGAATGTTTATTTATAAAACCAAAACTGATTAGCTTTGCTAAGCTCATTACGTTTTGAGGGTATGGAATAGAAATTTAACGTCAACGTATATATATTCAATTTTAAACCGTTTTAACGAATATTGTGTAATCAGAAGAGCCTACCTAAGTTCTTTTATAGGACTAGTTTGAATTTTGAAAGCAGTACACACAAAAATGTTTAGACCCGCAAGTTGCACCTATGAGCATACAAAGAACCGCATATTGAATAAAAGTTGAACGTAAACGTATATGTATTTGATATATAAAGGTTTTAACGTAAAATGGCTTGAGGGCTGGCTTTGATGTTTTCCTAGTACTTTTCCAAATATGTTGTACAACTAAAAAAAAATTGAACAAACCTATTCTTGATCGTTCAAGTGCAATTTCCAGGCCATCAACGTCTTAAACCTGCGGATATTCATTGGTCAGTAATTGAAATATAGTCCATTTCATTAGAATTTAGGTTTACATGTTGAGTGTAAATTTGAGAACTCCGTTTACTATTTTGACCTGTGAAAACTTTTTAACGTTTAAAAACGAATAAGTATACGTTTCCGTTCAATTTTTATTCTGTATACTATTAAAGGATTGAGCTTAGGTTGAGTGTACACGATTATATTTACGAGTCAACGACTCATCACTCAACAAGTCTCATTTTACTCATCACGCATCACTCATCACTCATCACTCATCACTCATCACTCATCACTCATCACTCAAAGTGAATACGTGATTGATTTTTCATCTCTATTCTGGAATCTGGACTCCTGGAGTCTGGAGTTGAGAAATATTTGAGGTTTTGAAAAGTGTTAAAAATACAGTTAATAGACGAAGATAGGACTCAGGACTCAGGACCAGGCTGTCCAGGCGCCAGTAGCCCAGTACACTGTCGCAGATTCACAGACTCACAGGCCACAGGCCCACAGCCCACCACCAGGAGCCGGAGCCACACCACACACACTCACACAGCCACAGGAGATTCTTCTTGAGGCATTTTTGTTGTTGTTGTTTTTTAATTATACCGAGAATTGAGACTTGAGACTTGAGATTGAGACTTGAGACTTGAGACTTCAGACTTCAGACTTCAGTCACTTCACAAGTTCACAGACTCACAATTACTCTCTCTCTCTCTTGTCGTTTTTTTAAACTTATTGTGTGTGGTGTATTTAAACTATTTAAAAATGTTTTATGAATGACTAATCTATTGAGTTGCAAGTCTTAGACATATATATGTCACTAAAGGTGGACTAGTGTCTAATCTTGATTGATATATTCTCCTATAATATAGAGATAATAATTGACATGTGCGTCAGTAACTAGGGAGTAAATCCGAGTTAGAGAGTATAGTAAAAGCTTCTTAAGAGTAGAGTTATGTACTACTCATTAAATATAGTGTAATTTTTTTAAATTTAAATATTAAAATGGGTATGTTTTTAAAGGTATTCCAGTGTTAAATACACAACTCACAGTACACAGTTACAGTTTCTAATTCCACACACATATTAGGGGAGGGGTTTTTTAATTGAAGAAGTCTACAACACTTGTTGTTGTGGAATGTTGTGTGGCGGTGACCGGTAGGGGCCGTAGGGCGTGGGTTCCCGTCATGGTCTCGTGGAGTCGAGGAGACTAACGCACTGATGTCAAATGTTTTGTCAGCCGTTCCAAATGTCTAAATACAAATAAAATAAACATCCCACCCCACGGCCCACATTCCACACTCCACACTCACACGCCTGTAGGATATATTCTATTAGATTATCCCTCGGGATGTCCATCCCCATCCCTACGGATCTCCGATAAAGGTCCCTAAAACTATGGAACCCTTTTTAGTATACAGTCTCATATAACAAAGAGATTATATATCTACATCTCTTGAGGATAACTTCTCCTAGGGGCAAGATAAAAGGTGGTACAAGATAACTTTTAGGCTACTAACCCGTGGGGGATGGTACCGGAGGTCCACCACCTTTTAATTTTACAGCTAAATAAAGTCTTTATTTTAGCTGTTCCACAGGCCACAGCCCCCAATTTGCAAATATTGGCAAATTCCATAATATATTTGTATGTCGTTTGTATTTTACTCTCGGGTTGAATCAATCGAAAATATATCCCAAGTTGGGCAGCAGCCGTGAGCCGGCAGACTTTGGAGTTTGGGCCATATTATTTATGATTTCTGTGTAAAAATGCATAGCCTTCTACAGTTCAGAGGCTTAGCCTTTCTTTTTTTCTAAAAAGCCCTGCTTTGATGAGGATCATGAGAATCAAAACTTCAGACTTTGAGGTTGACAGAATGTCAGTCCGTTGAGTCGGCGTTGACTGTTGTCTGTTCATTGTGAGATAATTATTTGCGAGTTAAAACTTAAATAAGCCTCAGGAGTCAGGATCACAGACAGGACAAATTAGTCGAGTATCGAGCTAAGCTCAATTCGCTATGAAGTTACGGGACTACAGGTTAGAACTTTAGAAGTTAAACATAAACGCATATTTAATCAATTTTTTAAACCGTTATAACGGTTATAAGGTGATCAGAAGAGTCTACCCAAGTTATTTTACAGGACTGGTTCATATGGTAAAATCGGTACACACTTATATGTTTAGACCTGCAAGGTAGACCTATGAGCATACAAAGAACCGTATATAGAATAAAAGATGAACGTAAACGTATATTTATTCGATTTATAAAAGTTTTAACGGAACGGGTTTGAGATTAGGTATCGAGGGTAAAGTGTAAACTCAAAACTGAGTGCCCACAAATGTCTATCACAATGACACAATACTTGTTTCTTTCGAAATACCGAGTATGACCTGCTCTGGGACTCTGGAGTCCGGGCTCTGGCTGCTCTAACTCTGAAAATTTGTGGGAAAATATATACATTAGTTTTTAGTTTTAAAAAAAGAACAAAGAAAACATTATTTTTTTTAAATATGTATATGTATATATATGTTCTAAGCTTCTATATATAAATATACATTTGTATACGTGTAAAAAAAATGGGGTTTGACTATTTGTCCAATTTAAAAAAATCCTACATAATTCCTTTGACATAGCCTTTGGACCGGTGGACAAACAGAGTTAACGTAAATCAATAACATTGAACATTTACCCACCAATTTATTATTGTTGGTTCTGCTATACTAAATTTAGGCACTTCGTTTACGTCATAGTATGTAAAATATGATATTTTGTGGTTTACGTAAAACCGTAGAAACTTTAGTGATTAGTCCATATCGAAGCTCAAAAGTGCCTTCAGAATGAGAATTACCAATACATAGGGCCAAGAGACCAAGAACAGGGCACTTTCGAAAATGGCTTTTTGTTTTTCGGTTTGTTTTGTTAGTAAAAAAAAGTCCTCATTCTAAAAATACAAAGGCTATTTTTTATATATTTTTTTAAAATGCAGCCTTTGTAGTTTGTAGTATAATATTTGATTTTTTTGTTTTTCACAACAGAAGTGTTAAAAAAGCATTTTTCTAATCAAAACAACCCAAATTGCGAAGGCGTGTTTTATTTGTTTTATAAAAAGGAATTTATACTCTTTTATGTAAATTTACTGTTGTACAAATTTTGTGTTGTTTGTATTGTTC